TCCCGCGAGCAACGTAGGATTCGTCTGAATATTTGGAAATAAAACACTGAAGCTAAACGCACCTACACTCCTAAAAGATATACGCACTACCGATATCACAACCGGTGTGCGTACTGTTGGTGGGCAATTATAACTGGCAGTTTTCTAACGTCCTAGTGACTGAATGGGGTGGATTGATCCACCAAGGCAGATCAAGCTTCTAGTAGACATGCATGGGCTACTTAAGATGGGCTTCTCAAGAAACGCTAGGTTTATTGGTCTACACCTGGTCTGTCGGACGTAAAAAAAGGCTTCCATAAGCTACACCTACACCCCATCCATCGAAGTCTAGAGCGATGGCGTCATGACATGACATGCAGTACGAATTAGGCGTTTCAATAAGTAAGATATGGTGAAGAGGTCCATGGACTTCAGGCAAAATTGCACGCTGTCAAACGAAATAGGAACTTTCAGTGGATTGCCTGAAACCATGATATCTTGTGTTGTTGCATGCAAGGCCCAATTAGGCTTGAACAGAGCAGACAGGCACCATTAAGCAAATTACACATGAAGGTGGACACAAAATTAACTGTATGTAACCCTCTGACACTACTGATTATCAAAGCCGTCTTACAATCAGTTGGTATAAATGAGGGGACTACTCCCTTCCTGCCCCGAGGAAATAGGTTTGATATGAATATTGTTTTAGAACTATCCCTCATCTCTAAACAAACACTATTTCGAATATCACGCAGATACGAGCTTTCCCAGCACGTGGCACATCTCTCATGCTTAACGCACGATTGTTTGCTTGAATCGTGAGCAAGACTATTATAACGCATTTAGGAACCATAAAACATTACTCAGGTGTATGCTTGTTATAAGCCCTGTTGGATTCACGATGATAGGCTTCAGTAGTGCGGGCATGTTCGTTGCCTAAAATACTCTATAAAAGCAGTATGAAGAACAGCACCTCAGTCAATTTATGTCGACCATTACCGATAAGCGGTGTGGTCAGACAGTTGCATGCGCCAGGCAAAACCGGAATGTTGTCTATAATGTCAACTTCCGACTGTCTGGTTACGCTTACCCACTGACCATAGCAGACTGAACTTTATTCCAACACAAGTCGATTTAGTCTGTAGAACAGATCAATGACATTTAGACAACCCCAAAAAAGACACGAATAGTCGAGAATCTCACGATACCTCTCACAGGGAGTCCTGTTCGTTGCACATGAGGTATAAACTGCGTTCCGACCGCTGGAGACACTCTGTTTCCGATATGAAATGCATGGTTTGGTGATGAAGGACGAAGGTCTCAGTCTGGTTATCGACTAAAATTTCCCCCTTACCGGAAGGATATCCTACTTAGAGATTACCCAAGTTTCCCCTAGTCTCTTCTTCAAAAAGCTTCCAGTGAATACTCGGAACTTGTCTGTCATGCTTCGATCCTTGTGGGCCCCCTTCGGAATGACAAAGCTGGCGTATGCACTAACGCTGGTACACAAAATGTCACTTAACACTAAGCATCATTGTCTTAAGGACACATTTCTGATTGGTATGCAGTAGAGCTTTACTGCTCCAAATTCTAGAAAAATCAGTCTATTCCTAAATTACTATATATGATAACTGCTTATAAATGAGTGGTGGTTGAATGACACAGGTTTCATGGGCCAATACACAATCCATCCGGCTTATTCCATACCGAACACAATGTTGATGTTCTCCATTTGTGCTTTTCCGGTTTTTCTGTTGACCACGTTGTGTCATAGGCCAGCGCCTAATGCACCTATGTTTATTGAGCTGGTAGTTATACGCACCCGAAGGCTGCTTACTTCGGTAAGCCTTATGTGCCATATCTAGACTGGGGTTGGAGAACAGTTGTAGACATGCTGTGACTGGTAGGAAGTATCTAAAAGCTAATTCATGGTCTTAGTCACTCAGATGCACACCCAATCAGCGATCTGGGACCCTCGCCGAAATGGCACCGTCCACTCAGTAGTCTTCACTAGTTGAACTTTTATTCCTCATCCCGTTTTCGACACCTCATTGTTCTTTCGAACTTCATCCTTCTTCCTTGTCGATGACTGGAGACCGTAAAGTCTGTGTGGTTGCCAAGGAAATTACGAAATTCCAAGACTCTGAACGACAGTGGCGTAATGTGCGCCCAGTACATTTCAAACCGCTTTTCACAGGTGTCAAGCTCCTCCTACCTTGATTTGAAAGCACTTTTAACCAAAGGCACCATGTTTGTGCAGTAAGACAACAGTCCCGATTCCATGTTATGACTGACTGGGCACATATGAAGAGTGGAACGAAAAAAACCTGGAAAGACTGAAGTCAGCTTGTGAGATGTCTCCGATATTAGGAAATTCGTTGATTCTGTGAGATTAAATAAACACAATAAATACGCAGATCCAAAGCGCAGTTATTCAGAAATAAGAATTGACAAAGCTGACAACCCTAGAGTTGAACGCGGCCTACCAGGCTATCCTTTGGTATCGGTTTTTAAAATGTATTGGTATGATCACCTACTTCCACACTCTATTTAGTATTCTGTTGTAGACTACAGAGTTGAGGAGACCGAACATATGTATCTCATGCGCACATGTGAAAGGGACATAAGCAGACCTAGGAGCGAACTATCTCCCTCACACTTCACGTCAACCGGTTCAGATGGAAGCACACGAGACTGTTGCCAACTCAGGACGATTGAACAGAAGGACCAATAAACAGACAAGTCAAAGCTTGAATAGCTTCCTCCCCCTAATGCTGTTTCGTACATGAATACCATTCACTCATCCGGATCTGACACTCGGGCCAGTTGGGTGACAACCACAAAAACATGGGTAAACAACTGCTCCCATCGTCCGTCGCTTCCGTCGCTGACTGTACGGTTGGGTTGCCGAAACCCACAATATTCCGGATCTGCTCTGTTGTGTTCAGACCTATCCTCGATTGTTACCAGGTTAAGGACAAAGACGGCGGATGGCCCGTAGCTGGCTGGTAGAAACGCACACGAGCTCAACCACCATTAGGGTGGTGAGTTGGACTGGATTGTAGTCACGGTTGTACACAGACAAACGGAGTCCTAAAAAGTGACGAATGAGAACAATCAAACAAGCAAGAGCAGTTATCATCAATGCCGACAGTGTCCTGTAGATGGGGCGGTTAAGTTCCTGTCACGTTTCCTGTTCTGACACACTAGCTCCTTGGTGTGGACCACACTGCAACAATTTTATCAAGGAAGCTCAAGACTGTTCAATCAGGTAATGTGGACCAAGAGCTGTGGTCAGCTTCAGCAGGCGAATAGAAATACAAGATGCATGCAGCGAGCAGAAATTCAATAGAACTACTTCAAACTGTCTGATCAGTACTATTTCAAATGTCACTAGTGCCTTCCAGAGAACACGTTACATTTCGCGAGCAAGCCGCTCAAATCATTCCGTTGCTTCTCAGAAAGCACAACAGTGTTAAAAACATCAATAGTGCATCTCAGCTGATTCCGGACTACACCTTGGGGGATATAAGTGACATATTGAAAGATATCACTGTTACATTCAGTGAACTGTGTGGATGTTTGACACACAGAAGATGTTCCTCGATCGTGATATCCTGGAACTTACAGTTCATCACTCGATGTCTAGACCCTAGAAAAATTCATACCGTAGCAACCTGCGGGCACAAGTGTTCGGATTTGTCGTGGAGTAATTATCCAGAGGATCTCAGATATCAGTTCTGTAGACTAAAAAGACACCCACTTAAACCAGATGAATTTTGGTTGAAACGTACAAAAACTGATCTTTCCTTTTTCCTTTTCCTTTTTTTCCTGAGCGCGGCATTGCGTGCTGCTTTGTACACCATCGGGAGTGAATTGAAGATGTCACCTCAGTTTTCAAGGCCAGCGAACGTACCAGCTGCCAGCTATTCGATCCGCTCTACAGGCATTCTCTTCAACCACATGAGAGGACTGTTTCGTTTAAGGCGAGGCCGTGTTTGAAGCGATAACTCACAGCAACCCGATTGATGGTTTACTGAAGTGGAAAATTATTTCGTTTTCTCAGTATCTACTTATTGAATGAATAAGCTAGAACTGTTTGTTCATCTTGTACCCCGAGTTCGGTGTAAACTACGAGACAATCAATGAATTTGCGGCAACATCGAATTTCGCTTTAAGATTCCATTATTTTCCTTAGGCCTATTTTCATTTGTCTTTCTAGAATGAACCACCATTCAAAAGAGAATAAGAGTGGTATGTCAATTCAGGTGGCTTTTCGGGTGGGGGGAGCGTGCAATATGATCTCATGAACGGCGGGACTCGTGTATGGCCTCCCCATAGTTCAGCTCCATTATCTTCACTTACTATTGGCACTGTGATGTGTTCGAAGAAATATCCACTGTCTGTGAACACAAATCCCAGATGGTCCCCCGGCCGAAATTCCTGCTCCGTAAAGTTTCATAAACTGAACTATTCTGAGAACCCTCCAGTTCTATCGACAGTTTTCTCCTTCTTGTGTCAAAGCAAAGCTGCAGCCATGGAGTTCACCACTATGGCTTGCAGACTAGCGTCCCATAGAAACCACATCCCGTTTTTTATGAGCCGGTATACTGCCCAATGATATCCGCCTGGTAATCGCTTTAATTAGAGCTGTCTGTTTAGTCTTCTACTCCTTTTGTCACCAGAGGAAGTCTCTAACGATCGCCCGTGATTTCTGCTTCCTAGTTATTTGGAGCACCTGCCAAGAATGAGTTGGGAGCGTCTTTCTTTTGGTCGTAAGGAAGCGAAATTACGTGGTCGTATGAACGTGCAAACCACCACATATCGGTCGCTGACTAATGACGCGGTGAACTAGATCGTGACCTTGTCGTCTGATGTTCGTCGCCAGTCCCACTGTTCGGTCGCGTACATCAACCTTGTAACGAAACAGTGACAAACCAGCCCCAGTTTAGTTGACCAAACGTCGAGTTTATTATGTAAAAAAAATAAAGAGTATATTAGATCAAATGGAGCAGAATAAACTCAAATCGGTTTGAACAACACGTGAAGGTGGGTGATTAGATGACTACGTACGGCACCTCTCATCCGCGACAGGCAGTTCACAACAGCCGTCTGATACCCTCAGCGGTGGTTCCATATTCAGTCGGTCCCACAATCCCTCCAGCCAGCCGTCAACCTCATTATCAAATATTCTGGTAAACAATCTGCTCCGTAGTTCATCTGGTAAACTTGTAACGAGCTCGAGGCGTATGTGAGGTTCACTGGTGACCTTATACAGGCAACCGAAAGCGAACCGAAGTAGCCTCTTAGCTTTTTCCCAATTTATCGCATGCACATCCGCCATGCTGTGCACACCCCTTCGAAGTGGTGACAGACCGTTGCAGGGGTTAAACTTTTTGGCCACATATTTGATGATGTAATTCAAACCAGCCACAAGTTTCTGAATACGCTGGTTGTCCTGCCCAAGCATTGTCAGCTGTCTGGTGGATGCCAAGAGCCGTGTGAGAAGGATCAGTGCCATTGTCTTTCCAATATCCGAAGTACTATAGCACAAAGCAGCCACAGTGTAGTCGTATAGCCCGGCATCCGTAGGCACTTCAGCTGATCCACCCTGATTTGTAGGTAAACGAAGCAGTAGGCGTTCCATTGTTTCGACAGACACCTTACTAGTGGCAGTGGCAAACAAGCCCAACAGACTAACCCTCAGTTGTTCGATCTCTCGTGTCTGCTCAGTCCGGTTCAGATAGGGAAGCAGAAAGAGGAGTATGTCGGTCTTGAGGAATTCTAGCCGAACCGCACGATCCAGTATAATCTTCTGAAATATGGCGACAATACCGCAGATAACCTGAAAGGTACGATAACCAGTTAACAACAGTGTGGAGGAACAACAGGCAGTCCGACGCCAACTAAGAAGGAAACACATAGGTCTCTTGGTAGAATCAAAACAAAAATGAACATCCCAAGACGGTCAATCCAAAGCGTGAGATCCTAATCCTGCCGCCAAGCAACATAGTAAGCCGTCAGGTATCAAGGAAACCATCATGCACGCTCGGGTTGAGTTAGCCCAAGTGGTTAGCGCGAATTTACTGACCGGACGGTCCGAGGTTCGAACCCGACCTCTGGCTCTCGACCTCCCTTTTCTAGGCTTGGGCAACCTGGCAGTATCCCAGCCCTCGTGCCACCTTCGTGTGGCATGGCAGCTAGGCACTGAAAGGGTGCTGCGGCTGAACGATTACTTATTATTACTACTATGCACGCTCGAACTAGCATACAATACAACATCTCTTTAAAATGCTTTATGGTATTGGATAGATCTCGTGGAGATAATTGGGCTCTACTCAAGATGTATTAGGGGATAAATAATGCTCATATGAAATATGCTTGGGGAGGTGACATCAAATTCTTTTGTCCCTTTCCGTCCAACCACTCGATGGGTAAAAATGGACAGGTAAGCATCAGATTATGAGCTGTCGGTGAGACAAAACTCGGTGACGTCAGGGTCATTAACTGCTGGTTTTTCTCATCCAAGGTTTTGGCAACCATAAAGAACCTATAGGCATTAAATCATATGAACTGTTGACTTTGACGTATGGCACCACTCTCATCATCACCCACAAACAAAAGAATCTTGTACCGAAATACACTCATTTGCAAACCAATTTAGTTTTGACGAGTGACTCATTTGGAACCCAGCTGGGTCTCTCGTCTATGATCTCTAAGCAATTGAATGTGCTACACTGGGCCGCCTCATGTTTCAGTTGGTAAGATACTCAAGATATCATGATGCATGTATTCATAAGGGTGCTGAAAACTTGTCGACAGCCCACGACCAGTTTCGTCGTTTTTGGAGCACATCAGGTAAGCACACACACCCCCCCCCCCAGTTTCCGTCAACCTTAAGCTCTGCCTGAACCCGAATTGCGTGAAATAAGCGAAGTGCATTCATTCGCATACCAAGTGGAGTAGTGTATCACGTCTATACGGAATCCTGTATCATTGCAAACCGACACAACCATGGCCTTAACAGCTAAGTTCGCCAACTGTTTCATGGTTGGTGAATGAAACAATGGTGCTTGGAACTTCTGAAAACTCCATAGATGGTTTATAAGCTGACAGGCAAGCATTCGTCGTCCAGATTGCAAGCCGCCCAGAGACAACCTATTCTTATCTACTTCGGTTGGAACAACGTCCATGAAGTCAAGAAAGCTCTGAGTTTTTTTTTCTACCAGCCCCACTTTCATATCAATATTAAATCGCTTCTAAACAGGGAAATGTGCATAGTGAAAACATTTGATCTGTCACGTCATGCTGTTTCATTGACCTCCAATGCATGTTTTTACCGCATATCTGTCCTAACGTAAATTTCTGTAGGAACAACCTGAATCGTTCCTAGCAACGATGCCGGGCTTTCTGTGAGTATTATTTTTTAACCGTTTCGGTCACAGTTCGCTTTATAGAGGCTTTACGGCGCTCTCTAACTGATCACTTTGCCGGAACTTTATGACATTCTGCGTGGTGAAATCTCAAGTATCACGTGAAGTACTAGCAGAATACAATACCAGTCCTGTGCACCCGTATCCCAGCGTGCCGAGAGTTATTTGTGTCTTTCACTGGGTTAAACACAGTCTGAGGTCAGCGAACTGCACTCATTTGAGTAGTTCATTACGAATATGCATGTATCACGACATCTCGAATATCGTAGCGACTGAAACATGAGGCGGCCTGGTGCAGCACATTCAGTTACTTTAAACATCATAAACGACAGATCCAGCTGGGTTCCAAGTGAGTCACTCGTCAAAACCAAACTTGTTTGCAAATGAGTATATTTGTCACAATCAGTCCTATTTGGTTTCAAGTAGAACATAAGGCTGACAGAAACTCGGGGAGTGCGCCCACCTGATTAGCCCCAAGGAGGGCGAAACCGGTCGTGGACTGTCGAAGAATTTTCAGCAACCTTACGAGTAGTGCATTACGAACAGTCTGAAGTCCTTTTGGGGTGAGACTTATTTTGGCCTTGCCCTCATCTCACTCTTTGTGTGTTCTGTCAGTTTTCGATCAAAAAGCAACGCTTTGAGATGATATTGCCTAGTTTTTTCGAACCACACCACGTATACATGATTTACTTTCATTCATAGTCAACTTGATTTCCATATCCGGAGTAGTATTAGTGGTCATAGTATTCTTATTTTGATTGACTTTATGGACCGTCGGTTAACGCGTTTGGCAATCCATCAAAGTCGGGATGCATTATTTATCCGCGTGGTTAGTGAATACATCTTCTCTGGCCCGTTTCCTGAAGTGTTCTAAACTCTGAGCAGGATGTACGTATGGCAGTGCATACTTATGTCTGTTTGCACTGAAACGGTGTCTATTCAAACAGGATGGCGTCAAAAGTTTCGGTGGGGGACTAACTTGTTTTCATCTGCACACATCCAAAGAGGCGCTATCCAGACATTTTGTCTCTGCTTGTATCCGACCACGGATGATGTGGACCGAACTGTATTCAACTGATCATCCATCCTGTTGGTGAAGTAAATTTAGGCCGACGGACACTGCGTGGCCGCTTCATCCTTGTTGGGAGCCATCAGCAGAAGTAACTTCATAAATCTATGGAGAGACCTCCCAACTGGTAGCTGAATACTATTCTATTCGAGTGTGAGTAGCAATGTTTACTAGTTTAATCACCTTAATGGGCACATTTGGGACTGGGGACGACCGTAGTTTTTGGTCCACAAATGTTACCATGGCTAGGCTTACATTTCTCTGATTTCCCCTTGCATACTTCCTTCGAAATCTGTCATCCAAGCTTCTTCACCCATAAAATCTATGAAATGACTCCATCTGCTGGCGAACAGTCCGAGAGTCTCTAGGTAGACGGTTCCTTTGTTCCGGTGACTTGGAGACAAACTTGAATTAGATCGAACAAAGTGTAACTAACGTCCCTCGATTTCGAAGTGATCTCATTAGTTGTTGACCCTGCGAGGGGTAATTTGCATAGTAGAAAAATAAACCTGGTGTCGTTTTTTTGAGGTGATAAGTAAACTGGTCAGAGTAAACCATTTGGATGGTAATTATATGATTGCGTTCACGTGAGACCTGATAGAGCTGAATCCAGTACACCGCACTGAGCATACAATGTCTAAATCAAGGTTAGTCGCGGAGATGACGGTTAAGCACAAACAGAAGTGATGTTTTTGAAAAGTTTATTTTATCGGTTTTATAACCACCTGGATAGTACGGCTAGAGTAGCTGAAGGGGCGAAGTGGCTCAGATGGTTAGAGCGCGAATTTACTGACCGGAAGATCCGTGGTTCGGACCCGACCTCCGCCTCTTGACTTCCCCTGGCTAGGCTTAGACAACTTGGTAGTATCCCACCCCTCGTGCTTCCTTCGGGTAGCACGGCAGCTAGACATCGGAAGGCTGTTTCAGCTGAAAGACCACCTCCAGAATAGCTGAGGACAAGTCTCCGTATGTTGCTCCAACTTGCAGGTCAATTATTTGAGGAGGAGTGGAGAACCTAACTCCAAAACAGACAGCAGGTGCTAACTAGTGTTCAAGAACAACGCTGGCATAATTCAAGAGTGATGTTATTCGGAAAACCCAATGTTCTAATTTCACTACTGTTCTAGATGGTTTTAAACTGAAAAATTACCAGTCCACGGAACTTCTGAGAGGATGAGAAAGAACTTCGACAGGAGTTCTAGCATGCCTAGTTTATTGTCCACCTCGTTCAACGACCATTCATCATGGCATTAGGAATCTTACCTTGGGGCTTAGATCTTTCAACTGAATCCTGAGTTCTATGAAAGTAATGCACTCATAGCTTCATGTACTAGGATATGCCCTCGAGCATTTCTGACCAGCTGACAAGTGGAGTTAGGAGCTCGCGAAATGGTACCACTCGAACAACAGGCCATTAAGGAGAAACCGACAGGTGTGTGGTTGATCTTCAGAAGCACCATAACCCATAGAGTTGGGAACAAACCCTTCAGGTGACTGGTTACTCCCTTGTGGACCACTGTACTCGATAACATGTCTTTGATTTTCAATAGTATGCACCACATACTTTAAAAACATTCAAGAAAATAGCGCTTCACTAAAGCTTCCGCCATAGCGTTGTGGCCATCGATGAAACATCCGTTGTTTCTCGCTATTGGCCCGTAAGCATGGGGAGCAACTGTCTGGGGCGTTACATTAAATGCATAGTTCACCCTCAGGGGTATTTCCTCTCATAAAATATGCACTCGAACTCTACATTCCATGATCTTTCGAATCATTCTGCTTTCACCCACTCTAAGTGCCCGTGAATCTGAAACTCAGACTCTAGTATTCGACCATCAGGAGCACACGCATATTGTGCGCATCCACGGTTTGTTGTTACTCCAAGAGATTCTAGCTCTAGGAACGTCCTATTTTTAAGGACAAACTTGCAAACACTAAATAAACAGGATGTTAGGCTTGTGTAGGCTAAATGAACCACAATCGGTAGCATTTTCCGACAAAGAAACCTATTGGTCAAGCTCCATTTTTGAATGGTCTTGCTAGGGAGAACCAACGGATAGAGCAAAAGCTGAAGTAATGGCTTATCGTCTAACCTTGAATAGACTACTCATTACTGCTTCACACTTTATGTTCAAAAACAGCATGAAAACATGGTACAAATGCTTTTTATAGTGGATATTTAAAAGGTATTTGATAAAAAGAAACTCACATCAACAGATTCTTGTTGGAGTTCCGCATGTTTCGCACCGTTGGGGTAGTGTTCCATGATCTCCATAAGGATAGAGGAAAGGACAGCGGAACGTCCGTAAATGATGAGTCCCAAGCGAGGAATGGTGTGCAGGTACCGAGATAGTTCCACGATGGCAGCCGCACGCGTGTTACGATTTAAGACACAGCGCAATGAGCACTCAACTTTATCGGCATCATCATCTTTGGGGCTGTACTTGAATATTTCCTCACATAGCTCCGTCTTATCTGTCTCTTGTATCTTTTCCAGGCATTCATTTGAAACTTTTTGAGTGATGTCTAAATTTATGGTTGCCAGATCACTCATGCTGTTCGGTTCATAAAGATTCACGGATTGAATGTCATCACATCTAGAGCGCCATGACATTTAGTCCCGTGACAAAACCCGAGTAAGATATAATGACTCGGCTGCCCGATGAGTTCTATTCATAACCTTTTAACGATCGTTAGACTTGACTGTTCGTTCGACACAAATCGTTAAAACGATATGCATCGAACAATACCCCTGGCATGTCGGATTGCATGTTAGGTCCAGACAAGTGAACAGTGCTTTTTTATGTGAAATTCTCATTAGAATCCCAGTTACACAGCACAGACGAAAAGACTGATGCTAGGACGGGACTCTAACCTCGGAGCTCTTCTATCAGTTCAACCATTCTGTTTCTCAGTTATAAATCGCGTGAAAGCTGCAGTGATCCTAGCTGCTACAGTTCACCATCGACTATAAGTAGTATAAGAGAATGACGGTCTGAGGTGTTTGTTGCGCCTCCACTATCAGTTCACTAACGTCAAATGGCTCTGTTTGTCCGATCTGGCAGGAAGCGAGAGAACTATGTACTGAAGGCAACAGCTTTGATGCAGGAGTTCCATTGGCTTCGAGGCGTGATTATAACCGTCAGGGCCACTAACTATTGATTTGTCTCGCCCCTAGGTCCCCATTCGGGAACACAGTAGTTAAGGAACGCGGGTGAATTGATTGGTATGGGCTTTCATGTTTCATTACCAAGTTATGGCCTAAGCATCTGGGCCGTCTCCGTCCCATACAGAACTGGGTATTACTGATCTGATGTTCCCACCAAATAAGTGGAACGCTTTGCAGCCACCGGCAGTCGAACACAGTGTACCTCCGAAGATGTGAACGCAGTGGGCACATGACTAATCTATAGAACAGAGCAGACCAGGCCACAAAACAGATGGTGTCGCTTTAGCCCTACAAATGTCCTGGGACAGCAAATACTACTCTGGGCTCCCTGACTTTGGGAGTGATTTTATCATTCGCCAGTCCACCGGAACTTATGCAGCTGCCCAACTAAAAAATACTAATCTACCAGATACATTTCTTCGTTTGTAAACATAAGGCTTGGGTTTGATCCCATCCAATCTTGTAGTATCACTTTACACTTTTTGGGTAGAAGTCGCGAGACCAAACGTGCTACAGAACTATCTAGATTATTCAAAATAGACCACGTTTCTGAAATTTCTGATCCCAGAAGCGTAGTGGCGTATGCTCCGGAGGTATTCCTATTCCCGAGGTATTAAGGGCAGGTACAGAAGACACTGGTAGGACATCAGTTGGGAAGCTAAACAGAAAGAGCGATCGAGAACATCCTAGCTGAACGCCACTAGATTTAGTGAACTAGGGAGAGAGTTTGTTGTAAAAATGTGCGCGTCCAAAGAAGAAGGAATAGGGAGTTTTTAATAAGGTGTAAGGATTTGGAAGGGACATTCTTCACTACCAGAAGCCACCACAGTTGCTGAAGATCAGTGGAGTCAAAAGCAGCTTTCAGATAAAGGAAAACGACCCACATTGGTGGCCTCGAGGAGAGGCTCATTTCCAGCATCTGTCGCAAATTGATGAAACTTCAGCCAGGAAGAAACCGCGCTTGAAGCCCGCGAACCCAACTGTTCGAACGGACCAACGTGCCGTAAAATAAGAGAGCGCCTTGGAAGCCTTGGCCATTAGACTGATACCCCAGAAGTTTTTGCACGATATTCTTGTATCACCGAGGTGCTAGATGCTGCTGGGATGTTTTGAAGTAAAGTCATCAGGTTGGTTACGACGGATTCCCTGAAGAGTGAAGGCCCCTAATCATCTGAAGCAGATCGTTCGGTGAACAGCCGGTCTCCTCGGACCGGCTGACCAGATTAGTTGAAATAGGGTATCACTATTTGCCGTTCCAAAAGTTCCCCCAGTTCCTTGGTCATTTCTGTCTACCTTCCACTATTTGGTATACGCGGGATCTGTGAACTTCCTTATAGGTTCTTGCTGCAGGTATGGTTTTAGTGGCTTTACTCAAAGCTTCTGATCACGACGCGATACAGCTTTCAGTGGGGCGTGTAAGCAACCGCGGACAGCCGGTTGAAAAGCTACGGGAGTGATTACTTTCGCCTTTTCTGATCAAACTCCTAGTCACCATTGTTATCACATACCAGCTTAGTTCTGACAGCTTCTCAGCCAGCTCAAGTTGATAGTATCGAGCGATTAGGGGATGAAATGAATGGCTCTATATCAACCGGCATGTTGCAGCGTTCCCGCGCGTTGAATTTTCAGGCCTTCCAGGTAAAGGTGTGTGCAAAAATTAATTAATATTTTCTTTCCGTTCATCGCCTTCCAGATGCAAGCGAGGAGCTTGAATATTGTTCCCTCTTGAACGCTATGCTGATCATATTCTTTATTCCAATCCGACTGCACATTCTTTGGGGTCTCAAAGCTTATAACTCTGAAGGACTTGCTGCCCCGCCCACTTCCAATCAAGCGGGCTTCTACTACTCATCTTCTCCAGGAGGCAAAGCGTTTTATGTGCTCCTGGGGTCGTTTTCATGGCTGCCAGTATCAAGACTATTCAAGACTACAATCCATTTTTATTACCTCCTTTCTTTTCCGCCGAAATTCGCCAGTTGATCACCGCAAGTGATGTGACCTTCAACACCTTCAATGCTATCCGTAGCTGCCTCACGGTTCGTTGCTCTTCACCTCGTCTTTTAAGTTTTTGGCTCAGACTGTATTTTCCGTTATCTCTTCTTCAGTATCCAAGGTTTGAACTTCCATCATTACCACTGTTGGCCCATCAAGAAGGCCAGTGTACACGTGCCTGAGAAGTTTGCTACTTTTAGTAATGCTCTCTAACTTCTTCTTCTCCATAAATCGCAGGCTCTCCTCAACTAGGAATACTGTTGTCACCTTCGAACCTATTCTCACCCCTTCAGTTTCTGGGCGTATCCGAGACTATTATCTTCCTCATTGTCGTATCATCTCTTACTGTTTATAGAAATCCTCTCCCTATTTGATCAGTGCTGAGCTGGTGAATTTTTTCACAACTTGTCGTATTCCTGAAATAAACTCCTGAAGTTTTCATCCACTACTGTTCATTCGGCAATGTCTAGCAAGCTATCCTATCACACTCATGGATAGACCTTTTCATTTCTGTGTTCCTTTTCCGTAAACCACTCTCCCGGACTCCCCTATCATCCCATAGAATAAGGCATTCTTTCGAGACCCGAGTTAACACGTTTGTTGGAAGCCACTGCGAATGACATCTTTCTAAGCGCGTCCGCTGCGTTACTTAATCTTCGAGTCACAGCTTATTTTCACGTAGTAGGTGAGCCTCATCGTATATTGAGAAGATTCTGTAATTTCGAAATGGTATTTCATTCCGACAATAAGGCCAGCCTGTAGTGAAAAACCGGGAAGCACTGTACAGCTACCTTATCCTTGTTGGGAATCATCACTAGTGCGCATCTCAAGAAACTCGGCGCGCTTCGAACCTGTGGACTCTCTCCTAACCGTTCATCCTTGAGCATTTGAGCGATAATTCGGATTTGCTCTTGCTTAGACAGGATATAGCGCTGCTCATCCTTCAGTCGCAGAGATCACATCATGTGGTCACATACTGGCTGGCTCATCGAGTGACGACTTCCCATATTGATTTTCGCTGATCTTCTCACTGAAATATGAGCGGTGCCATATTTCCTCTAAGTGATAGCTAGTCACACTGCTTTTCAGTCGCTCGAGGCCAAACGGTTAGGTGGTCAAACTAGCCGGGCTCGAGATTCCCTGCTGGAGTCTCGTGAGATGGGCCAACAAGGATGAAACAGCAAAGTTTCAGTCTACCTCTAAATGGAAGATGCTTTCATAAATCCGTGTATACTTTACCGATCAAGAAGTTGAGTGGTTATTCAATAAGCACAATGCTTTTCTATTCAAATTAGTCTGAGTGACACAAACGTCTTGAAACTTCTGCTCAGCAGCTATAGTGTGCACAAGGAGAAAGCAAGTTTGCATGAACCTTCTTTGAAAGCAGGCATAGATGAAAAGATGCCAGAACATTACAAATCGAAATTCGACATTCTAGGAAAACCATATCATTAATTTGTATACGCATAGTAAACAACCTGTCCATAGTGCAGTTTATTAAATAATACCTTTTTCGGCTAACATTAGCCTCGGTGTTTCTGAAGATCTCAAACCGTCCAGTAGAACGTTTTAAACTACTCGCCCTCGTCCATGAAGACGGCAAAAGCATGAAAGTAACCCAGTACAACGACTCCGTCAAGCAACCCCGGATATATGGAAACTTGTACTCGAAATATGGAGAAAATCAAATTGGCAGGTAACAGCGGCACAAAAGTTGATGAAGTATCATCTCTCCATCAAAAAAGCCAGCACAATCGAAGAATTGTTTCAGTTTCACCGCTTGACTAGATCTAATTGGCGGACAATGCTCTCAGCATTTCAGTTCAAGTGAAACGACCGTCTAATGACTGATGAATAAGTCTGGATAAACTATTCGGAAGCCTCTTCGATCGAAACACGGTGAAAAGGCTGGACCTATGAACCACCTATCTTGCCTTTTGTTTGAAATCGGGACCATTCTCCATCAGATGGCTGTCTGAAGCAACAGATGTCGGCTGACAATGAACACCACCGCCAATCACCTGTGCGATTTCCACTGCTCTTACTTCAACTAGGTGGTCAGTTCCATCACCTTATTATTGAAACTGAATGGCTAGAGTACTCATTAGCAAAGCAATTCCATCAGTCCCCTTAAGAGTCTACTTTCCCCTATATACTCCCCTACCACAAAGGAATCTTAACACAGGAGGAGGATAATGGACTAAGCAAGTTTTTATCTGCCACCACATCTGGTGCAGATGAGGCGGATCAGCATACGGGATTCGCTGTTTTCCTCATAATTTAACGAACGTTTTGTGCCTTTGGCTTTGATTGAAACACCTGTTGTTCTTGGAGGGGCTGAGTGTTTGTTTGCTGCCCCAAGCCCCTATTCCCATCAACATCAACTTGACAGATGTCCTCAGTTGGTTAATGGAAGTTCAAGCGTATGGGCTGTGTGGTTATCACCGTTGG